TAAAAATTGCATCAAACATTAATTCAATCTTTATGTGACTTATGTGCAAAAAAGATTTGCAATCGGATAAAAGACGTTTATGCACTAGCGTTCCAAACGTGGAAGGTAGCGGTCAAGCGTGAGGGGGTCCAGCCACCTTAAGCAACTGACCAAGTGCACCCAACACTCAATGGAAGCACACTAATCAATGACAAATCCTTTAATTGTCATATTTTAATTTGCAGGTCTTTCCTACTCGAAAAAATTCCTGAATTCAAAGAATCTTCCTTATCCAATGGAAAGTTTTAAACAACAACATGGATTAAGTAAACTCAACAAAAGTGCAGCAATCAGAACTTTACATTTCCATCAATTTTGTCAAACCTAATATGCTGCTCAAACCAGAGGTTTATATGGAAACTCACCCCGCATTAAAATTAATATACTGATTATCTGGGAAGACTTGATAGCCTATATTATAGTGCACACTGATGTATGAAGTGATGTCATGGTATTATTCATAAAATTGATGAACATTTCCAGAGACATTCCATAAATTCATAAACCTACTAATAAAAGAACATAGTATAAAAACATTTTCAAATACAAGATTTAATAAAACTCTGAGTTTATTTAATTTAGAAGATTTGCTGGAGAATATTGCATAAAGTAAAAATTGATGTCGAAATATTCATTCCATATCCAGTAATTAGGTGCCACAGCAATCTGAGCTGAGCAACAATTATTGTGCTAATCTCCTTCACCGGTTGTGGGAAGGGACTGTGTGTAGTGACAACACTTAAACTGGTTGCAAAGGACACTACAATTTATTGTGCCTACCTTAACTGGTTCAACATGTATACATTAGTCATTTCACAGATCCAATCTTATCTATTCTGTTAAGTATACTGTGTATAAATAGATAAACCATGGCATTTTGAAACCAACTTTAAATATAGCTTCATTGATATTTTTTTTAAAAAGTCCAATAGTCTATCATCATCAATGAAGTGTTATAATTATAATTATAGAAATTTTCAGCTTAGGTGTAATGTTTTGCCATTTCAAACCATTTCCTTGAGTATTGTTTCTTGCTTTTGGCAGAGGGGAGGCCTGTCAACAGTAGCCTGACAATTAGTGCCAAGTGCTATTTGTAGATTTTAAAGATATTTTTCTAGATATAGAGAAAGGTCTTCTTTCACGGATTTGAATTCTTCTTCATCAAGTGAATATTTTCCTAACCATAAATTAGCTTCGTCTTCTGTAAGACTTGAATAGCTATCAAAATCTGTCAACAAAAACACGGAACGCATTGTCAGTGGATGTTGGACATATAAAAAATCCCAAGTTGGTACAGAAATATTTATTATTAGAGTGCATGCCATATATATTTGTCAAACAATTACTATCCATGTTGCTCTTAAAAGTATTTAGTTATTAGCTATTTAATTATAAAATAGCTAAGAAATCACTCAGGCATGAACCAAAACAAAGATGCGTACAGATATTTGCTTGTACCCAATGTCGTTCTGCTCCAGTAATATCTACTCTGATTTTGTACAATTAGACAATACATCTTTGGTTTTGTTTCAAGGTTAAATGGCATTCACTCTAGGGACATATCATTTAGCAAGCTAGTTTAAAGGAAGCCCTGAAGAAATTTTTTTTATGAGTTGACCAAAATTGCCCTATTTCACTATGACGTCACTGCTTGTTTATGTGGGGGATAGAATCGCCAAATCCAATAGAAAATTCAACAAAATTTGCTCCTAGAGAAACAGTTTAATCTAAAATGGCCTGGTTTTCAGATATATTATGTGTTAAAATGTACTAAAAAATATTCTGAGCGTTTGGTGGCTATTCTACTCCTCTTCGTGGATTGATACGGGTTTTAGAGCAATTTTCGGTGAATTTGCGTTGATTTGACCCCCTCCGACGACCATGATCCTTTGCGTTTAAACAATAGATTGTTTTGATGTGACGTCGTAGTGAAATAGGGCAATTGAAAATGGGAATTTGCTACCTTATTACATAAAATTTTCGCGACGAGATTCGAGGCGATGTGGAATAAAATCGAGAAATTAATGCCACAAAAATATAATGAAGGAAAATTATAGCATGTTTAAGTGACCCTCCGACACAAAGCTATGATGCCTAGTCATACAGATCCAGTATTCATTGATCAAGTCAATAATGTTACGCTAGCCTCCTACGCAGACGTTCTAAGTGTCTGTTATGTCGTTTTGTTCCAGGAATGCGAATTTAAATTTAAATTGACTTTCTGCAAAAGTTACCTTGCTGCCTTATTACATACAATTTTCGCGACATAGATTCGATACTAGATTCGAGGCGATGTGGAATAAAATCGAGAAATTAATGCCACGAAAATATAATGAAGGAAAATTATAGCATGTTAAAGTGACCCTCCGACCAAAAGTACTGATGCCTAGTCATACAGATCCATCAACACTTGATAATAAGTATTCATTGATCAAGTCAATAATGTTACGCTAGCCTCCTACGCAGACGTTCTTAGGCCTAGGCCAAACATCGAACTTTCCATGCACCGAACTTAATTACATCAAAGAATGCCGCCTCATTATCGACTATTTGTGCATGGAAAGTTCGACGTTTGCCCTAGTAGGCCTAAGTGTCTGTTATGTCGTTTTGTTCCAGGAATGCGTGTTTTTGGAAACAAATTATGAATGATTTTTTCATTGAGATCACGAATTTAAATTTAAATTGACTTTCTGCAAAATTAAAGTGTTAAGATCGGCGAAATATGCGGCCTCCGAAATCGCGAAATTACTCTGCTGGCAGTATCCTTTTATTTTCTCCCGATCGAGAGAAATTAAAAGGAGAAATGAATAGGTCACGAAAATTTCACATGTATAGGATTTCATATTTCTACTAGGGACAGAGCAATCTGTTGGCTTTTATGTTGTAGCTAATACAAACACCCATAAAGGATGTTCAAAGATTCATACCTTTCATCACTAGGAATCCTCCTGGCTCTATACAAGCATTCAGAAATGGATGATCATCTTGAAAGTCTGTCAAAAGAAACAACACATAAAAAACTCGTATAAAAGAAATGAAACTGGATCGAGATGCTTGGTGTGTTGCCTCCTCCACAACCTTTGAAGCAGCTTTTAGACCATAACGCATTTCAGATTCTGGAATGCTTTTATTCTTTATTTTGTAAAAATATTAAAGTTTACAAACAAATATACTTTGTCAGCAGAAATTTCAAAATCTAAGATTCAAAAAAACTAAACTTGTGCAACATAATTTTGCTTTTTTTTATTTTTCCTTGGCATGTCAAGACTGTCATTCAGTCAATCACAGTTGAGCATAGTTAATATTTAACTATGCGGTTAATCGACGGGAAAGGATCTTTAAGGCCTATTTACACGGCACGATTTTGAGCTGATTTTGCCGTATACGTCAAGTCGCGCGCGGCAAATGGTGCCGTGTAAATAGGCCTTTATAATTGCCTTTTTGAATTGGTGGGTTTCCTTCAGAAACATAAGGTACTTTCGATTTTATTACTTATTTTCGAACTACAAAATCATCTTGAAATACGACCAATAATAATTGCAACAGGCGGCTTCAAGGAAAGCGAAAGTAAAAAGACATAAACTTGGCATTCTCAATGATAATAATAATAATGAATAATAACAAAAATAGGAAGTGTCACAGCCATGCGCATGCGCCTTACTACGAGAAGTCTTACTCAATTCTATTATTTATTTTCAAACTACAAAATCATCGACCATGATATAATTATGAGACTCAGATGCATTTCAAAACCATTTTGCTCCTCCTTCTCTCTACCCTTCTGGAATTTCAGTTTCACTCTGCAAACGCTTAAGAATATTTCTCACCAGCGTGAAAGTAAAATTCAACAACACCAAAAATAACACATCGAGTGATAAACAAGTCCCCTAGCGCAAATCCCGTGAATGGCTTTATTCAGATTTATTTATTCTTAGAATTAATAATTTCTCTCATACTATATTCCTAGCAGCAGGGGCGGCGGAACCGAGGGGGGGGGG